AGAAAACTAAGATCATGGCATCCAGTCCCATCACTTCATGGCAAATAGATGGGGAAACAGTGGCTGACTTTCTTTTGGGGGGAGCTCCAAAATCACTGCAGATGGTGATTGCAGCCATGAAATTAAAAGACCCTTAATCCTTGGAAGGAAGGTTATGACCAACCTAGACAGCATAGTAAAAAGCAGAGACATTAGCCCCAAGCTCAAATTCCTGTGCTTTAGGGTGGAGTTCAAGGGCACATTCCATCTCTATCTGCAGGCCAGGACACTTGTGCCTCTGGTGTAATCAGAAAGAGAAGGGGAGTCAAGGCAGCCCTATGTAGGAGGCTGAACTGATGTCTGGGCCCAGGTGAGGCTGAGCTCACAATGAAGCAATTCCCTTCAGGCTCTGAATTGGCGTGATCACCCCTGTGATCTTCTGTGCCTAGCTCTGCCAGAAGTTAGGTGATTTTGTTTAGTTGGTTGATTGGGTGTTGTCTACTTGTTCCTGTTGTAGAAATGTTTAGTTTCAAAAGCAAACCAAACTGTGCACTCCTTTTTCCAAGCAGAAGCCTGACAGGCAATCAGGGCTGGGAGTTCACTGTTCTCACAAGAAGCAGTTACCAACAGTTAGCAGAGGGCAGAGAGAAGCCCAGAGAGAAAATGGTCTTCTCTCTCTTGAAGACTGACAAGTTGAAGTCAGAAGCCAATAAAGAATTGAGCCTCCTTGGGGATTCCCAGGTGGTGCAGTTGGTAGAGAATCCTCTTGCCAAGGCAGGAGACCCAAGAGACTTGGGTTCAATCCCTGGGTTGGAAAGATTCCCTGGAGTAGGAAATAGCAACCAACATCAGTATTCTTGCCTGGAAAATTCTATGGACAGATGAACTTAGCAGGTTCCAAACGAGTTGTCAGGAAGCAAAGATGAGACCCCATGAGAGAGTAAATAAATATTAAACTTTTCATTTTGCAGAAGATGAAACAGACCTAGAGGTTAATCAAAAGGACTTGAAAAGCAAAGGACAGGAGGAAAAAAAGAAAGAAATTACAGTAAAATGTAATAAATAAGAGTTTAAATTTACATTTTCTTCATGGGTTCCAAGTGCTCTAACTCTTTAGGTGTGTTTTCCTTTTTCCACTGATTTTAAATGCCTCCAGAATATTCTAAATGTAGGTAGGTTCCTTAATGGAATCTCAAGACTGTCTTCTTGAGCCCCTGTGTTTTTATGCTGTGACTGCAAGGAGATCCAACCAGTCCATCCTAAAGGAGATTAGTCCTGGGTGTTCATTGGAAGGACTGATGCTGAAGCTGAAACTCCAGTACTTTGGCCACCTCATGCGAAGAACTGACTCATTGGAAAAGACACTGATGCTGGGAGGGATTGGGGGAGGGAGGAGAAGGGGACAACAGAGGATGAGATGGCTGGATGGCATCACCGACTCAATGGACATGTGTTTGAGTAAACTCCAGGAGTTGGTGATGGACAGGGAGGCCTGGCATGCTGTGATTCATGGGGTCGCAAAGAGTCGGACGTGACTGAGCGACTGCACTGAACTAAACTGAACATGCTGTTTTAAATTTTGTAAATACTATATCTTAATAGCTAATAAGGGATGGAGGATGTATACATATATGTATTTTTTTTTCCAGAATTGTCTCATATATTACTTCCTGCTCCAGATAAGTGTTGGAATTTTTTTTTTTTTTTTGGCTTCTTGGCATATGGGATCTTAATTTCCTGCCAGGGATTGAACCCAAGCCCCCTATGATGGAAGTGTGGAAGTCAACCCCTAGACCGCCAGGGAAGTTCCTAAAATTCTTTCGTTACATTAAAAATTCTTTGGGAACATCAAGTGGTACTAAATTATATTTACTAATTGTTTGGGGTGACAGTGACATCATTATGTATTAAGTTTTCCTATTCAAGAGCATGTTTTTCTTTTTATGACATTCAGTGAGATTTTATGAATGGTTAAAAAAATCTGTATATGTGATATGGAGTTGCCTTTTCCTTATTAAACTTATACCTAGGAATTTTATAGATTTTATTGCTATTTAGTATGAGATATTTTTCATTTATATTTTCTAATTGATTATTGATTCTATAAAGAAAAGCCATGGATTTTTGTGTATAAATTTTATATCTGATCATGATTGTGTTTCTGAAGTATCTCATTAGTTTTAATAGTTCTTTAGATGATTCTCTTGCATTTTTTAGAGGTTAATATTACCCAACTGCAAAATGGCAAATCTTTCTTCTTTCTCAATTATTTATTCCTCTTGTTCATTATTCTTACTGCCTAGTTAGCTCTAGCTTAATGTTGAAAAGTACACGTAATAGTGTAAAGTTCTGTCTTATTCCTGTCTTTCATGGGAATATTTTGAAAAAGCTGTTGTTTGTTCCTTGTAAAAACATTTTCTTAAATTAAACAATGTTTTTTTTTCCTACTCCTAGCTTAGTAATGGTTTTGCTAATGTTCATTGTTTTGTTTAATTTTAATAATAAATAAGCAATAAATTTTAATGAATGATTTTTCAGCATATGCTTCATTTTCTTGTTCTTTTATTATAGTTGATTATGCTAACAGACTTCCTAATGATGAATCATCTTTGAAGAACTAGAATAAACATTATTTTCCATGATACATGATCTTTACACACACTGAATTCAACCTGATAATAGTTATAATAGTTTCAGACTTTTTTGAGAACTGTGAAAGTTCTGAGATTTTTTTTCCTAGCTTGCAAGCTAGGAAGTTAACCATAGTATCATATAAACTAAAAGAATACACAAGACCATGGGTCAAAGACAGACAACTTTATTATTCACAGCACAACAAACAGCACAAGCATCAAGTTTCCATTGGTTTCCCTTGCTCCGTAAATCCCACAATACAGGAAGGAGCTATTCAGCCAGCAGGATTGTATCACATTTGAAGAACTCCAAGGTTTAGGAACCTGAATCTTTTATGAAGAGAAATAAGCAAAGATAAGCTTCCCTGGTGGCTCAATGGTAAACAATCTGCCTACCAATGCAGGAGACATGGGTTCAGTCCCTGGTCCGGGAAGATCCCCTGGAGAAGGAAATGGCAACCCACTACAGTGTTCTTACCTGGAGAACCCCATGGGCAGAGCAGCTCAGTGTGCTATGGTTCATGGAGTCAGAGTCAGACATGACTTAGTGACTGAACAACAACAAGAAAAGACACCGGAGAGAGATATCACTTTTATCATACAGTAAGCAATTTTCCCTCTATTCCAGCTGGAGGTTCTATCGCTGTCTTCCAGGGTTTTGACTATGCAAGCATCCTTGAATCATAGCCTGGAACAAAAGGGCAGTTATTACCTCTGTTTGCAAGATGGGTGGAAACACAAGAGTTCCACAGAGCCTGTCTTTCAATAAACTTCTGTGTATATTGGCGTATATTTGTTTTTGGCAGCACTGTATGGCATGTGGAAGTTCCCTGACCAGGGATCAAACGCTTGCCCCCTGCAGTGGAAACATGAAGTCTTAACCACTGGACCACCGGGGAAGTCCTATATTGGCATATATTTGTAAGTGAAATTTGTCTGAAATTTTCTTTGGAGAGCTAGCCAGTTTAAGAGCTATCTGGATTTTGCTGGCTTCATAGAACAAAAGAATAAGTTTTTATACTTACATGTGTTTAAAGGTCTCATTGGGGTAATATGGTCTTTGAAACACCAGTAGAGCTTACTCATAAGTCTTTCTCTGTCTAGTGCCTTTTTTAGGTGTAGCTTTTTTACTGCCATTTAGATTTCTTCTGTGGTTATCATCTGTTCAGGGCTTCTTCCTATCATGTGTGAGTTTTATTAATTGACGTACAGTATTCCTAGAAATGTTTCCATTTCATCTATATATAATTATTTACTGTTGTGTAGCATTCAAAATGCAGGAATTTACTAATGTGAGGGTTTCTTTTTTTTTTTTTCACTGAGAACTTTTTATTGACCTTTTGAATAGAAATGGGAGTTTATTTTGCCAAGAAGAACGATCCCATTGTACTGCTAGAACCAGCGAGTGGCCTCCTCTTTGCTGATTCTGTGTTTGGCCCTAATGCAGCCTGTCCTGTGGTGCTGAAACCTAGCCTATCCAGCACCAAGTAGAAGCCCAGGTTATAGATTTCAAGTCTTGTGTCTTATTTTATCCCCAGATTCATCTGTTCTTGGATCCCCAGAGTTTCCACTATCTGAGAAGTTATTTTTCCTTAACTCATATTCTTGCACCTTCAGAACTTTCTCCAGGATTTCTTCTGCCTTGAGTGAGAGTAAGCTGAAATAATCAATAGATTTAAACCTCTAAAGACTTCAGATATTGAAATTACCAGATCCAGAAGATAATATATAGAAAATACACATTTTTTATATATATTTACAACATGTTTACAAAATAAAAGATGGATTGTAAAGCTAAGCAATTCACAAGAGACTATCTGAAATGCTAGGGTACATTTGGAAAAGAAACAAATTGGACTTCTTGAAATGAAAAGTGTGATTATTCAAATTCAAAGATCAATAGTAGAGTAGAAAAGTTAAGCAAAGTCCAGGGAGAAATGAAGAAAGATTGAGTATCCTGGAAGGTAACTAATAGCATTATGGAGGATGCAAACCAGAGAGACAAGGTGGTGAAACATATGATAGGGAGAGAGGTAACACATGTAGAATGAGAAATATGACATACATTAAATCATAGTCCCAGAAACAGAAAATGGAGAGGATAAAGGAGAAATAGTATTTAAAGAGACAGGGGCTTCCCTGGTGGTCCAGTGGCTAAGACTCTGCACTTCCAATGCAGGGTACCCAGGGAACTAGATGCTACATGCCACAACTAAAGATCTTGTATGTCACAATTAAGACCCACTGCAGCCAAATAAAAAAATAAATAAATAAGAATAAAAGAGAAAGCTATAGAGATTTCCTTGGTGGTCCGGTGGCTAGGACTCAGTGCTTTTTTTTTTTTTAATAAAGTTTTATTTTTCAAAATGTACAGCTGGTGGGACCTGTTCATGCATCTTCACCAGCAGCTGGGGCATCTCCACCCTTGGTGTTTCTGGTGTAAATCACTTGAGCTCTGTGCTTTGAAACCAGTTTAATAAGTCCTTTACTGAGGAGTTCCTCAAGGGCTGCTCTGGCCAGGGAACCACGAATCTTCAGTCTCTCAGAGACGACAGCTGGAGTTATAAGCTTATAGTTGGGAACTTCTTTACAGAGTTTGTCATATGTTGCTTTGTCAAACAAGACTAGGTTATTGAGCTTGTCCCGAACTTTGCCTTTGGACCACTTCTTCTTTTTGGCCTTGCCCCCAGATTTGTTCACTGGATCTTTGTCTTTCTTGGCCGACTTTCCGGCATCTTTCTTCTTCTTGTCGTCCTTGGGCGGCATAGCGAAGGCCGGAGAACAACTGCGACCACTGCCGCCTCGCTAAGATGTCGGATAAAAAGGACTCAGTGCTTTCAATGCAGGAGTTTTGATCCCTGGTTGGGGAACTAAGATCCCTGCATGCCACGTGGTGTGGCAAAAAAAAAATTGAAATAAAATAAAGTGCTAATGACCATGAATTTTCCAGGATATATAAAAGACAAGAATCTACAGATACAAGGATAGCATATACCAAGCAGAGTAAGCAAAAACAAATCCATACCTATACATATATTAGTGAAACTGTAGAACACCAAAGGCAAAGAGAACATGTTACTAGCAACCAGAGAGTAAAGACAGATCCTCTCCAGAGGAATGGCAGCTATTCAGACAGCTTATAACAGGAACCAGAAGATATGAAATAACATCTTTAAATAGTTGAGGGAAACTCATGTCAACCATGATTTCCATACCTTGAATATATTCTTTCAAGTACAAGGGGGAAACGGTGGATTTCTCTACAAGTAAGAATTAAAGGAGTATGTGGCCAAAAGAGGGCATCCCTGTTGGCTTAAACAGTAAAGAATTTACCTTTTATTTATGCAGGAGACCCAGATTCCTGGGTTGGAAAGATCCCCTGGAGAAAGGGAATGGCTACCCACTCCAATATTCTTACCTGGAGAATCCCATGGACAGAGGAGCCTGGTGGGCTACAGTCCATAGGGTCAGAGGGAGTTGGACATGACTTGGCATGCAAACAAAAATTGTCTTTACAAAATAATAAAAATACTGCCTAAGGACAAGGATACTACTTCTTCAGAACTTTTTCTATTTCATCACTGGAGAAAAGAGTTCAAGGAGCAGAATTTATTTTGCATCAATCTTCACCCTCCATACCAGAATGTAGGCTCGAGAATAGGGTCTCTGTTTTGTTCACTCCTTCTGTCCAACACAGGAACAGTTCCTGGCACATAGAAGGACTCAATAAGCATGCACTGACTGTATGAATTAATGTGTAGTTTGACTGTAAACTCATCCTCACTATTCTGGTAACTGTATCCGCTCAGTGCAAGATGTCCCACTTCCCTCTCTGGCCAGGAGTCAATCAGAAACTTTCCCTCGGAATTTTCATCTTATGCAGAGTGACACAGATACTACAGTTGGCTGCAGCTCCTTCCTCCCAATGATGGAGTCCAGAGGACATCTGCTGCTGAGACCATCAGAGCTAATATGATTCTCTCCCCCGAGAAGACAGTTTTTCAGGTTTTCTTTGATTCTGTGAATTACCACATACACTCCTAATAAATTCCTTTTCTTTGCCTCAGTTAGCTGGGATCTGTCTTGTGTGTCACCAAGAAGTCCTCAAAGGATACGGTGTTGTTGGGGTAAGGTCTGCTGCCCATCTGATTCTCCTTTCCTAGTAGGTGTTATCCTTGGATTTCTAGAGTTTTACCAGAGTGTCCAGTCAGTCAGTTCAGCCGCTCAGTTGTGTCTGACTCTTTGCAACCCCATGAACCACAGCACACCAGGCCTCCCTGTCCATCACCAACTCCCAGAGTTTACCCAAACTCATGTCCATTGAGTAGGTGATGCCATCCAACCATCTCATTCTCTGTTGTCCCCTTCTTTTCCTGCCTTCAATTGTTCCCAACATCAGTGTCTTTTCCAATGAGTCAGCTCTTCTTATCAGGTGGCCAAAATATTGGAGTTTCAGCTTCAACATCAGTCCTTCCAATGAACACCCAGGACTGATCTCCTTTAGGATGGACTGGTTGGATCTCCTTTCAGTCCAAGGGACTCTCAAGAGTCTTCTCCAACACCACAGTTCAAAAGCATCAATTCTTCTGCACTCAGCTTTCTTTATAGTCCAACTCTCACATCCATACATGACCCCTGGAAAAACCATAGCCTTGACTAGATGGACCTTTGTTGACAAGGTAATCTCTCTGCTTTTTAATATGCTATCTAGGTTGGTTATAACTTTCCTTCCAAGGAGTAAGTGTCTTTTAATTTCATGGCTGCAATCACCATCTGCAGTGATTTTGGAGCCCCCCAAAATAAAGTCAGCCACTGTTTCCACTCTTCCCACATTTATTTGCCACGAACAGATGGGACTGGATGCCATGATCTTAGTTTTCTGAATGTTGAGCTTAAGCCAACTTTTTCACTCTCCTCTTTCACCTTCATCAAGAGGCTCTTTAGTTCTTCTTCACTTTCTGCATAAGGGTGGTGTCATCTGCACATCTGAGGTTATTGATGTTTCTCCCAGAAATCTTGATTCCAGCTTGTGCTTCATCCAGCCCAGTGTTTCTCATGATGTACTCTGCAGATAAGTTAAATAAGCAGGGTGACAATATACAGCCTTGACATACTCCTTTTCCTATTTGGAACCAGTTTGTTGTTCCATGTCCAGTTCTAACTGTTGCTTCCTGACCTGCATACAGGTTTCTCAAGAGGCAGGTCAGGTGGTCTGGTATTCCCATCTCTTTCAGAATTTTCCACAGTTTATTGTGATCCACACAGTCAAAGGCTTTGGCATAGTCAATAAAGCAGAAATAGATGGTTTTCTGGAACTCTCTTGTTTTTTCGAGGATCCAGTGAATGTTGGCAATTTGATCTCTGGTTCCTCTTGCCTTTTCTAAAATCAGCTTGAACTTCTGGAAGTTCACGATTCACGGATTGCTGAAGCCTGGCTTGGAGAATTTTGAGCATTACTTTACTAGCGTGTGAGATGAGTGCAATTATGTGGTAGTTTGATGCGTAGGTCTTCCCCCACCCCCCTAAAAAATCCCGTTTGGCAGTGGGTGAGTTTCTTCCATCTGAAGATTATAAATATCAACTAGTTAATTGTTAAAAGAAATACAAAATGAGAGATAATGAAACCTAGAAAGACTCTAGTCTTTCTTTTAACCTCTGGAAACATTTCTTCTGTTAGTATTTTGGTTTATCTTCTTCTGTTTCTGCCTTCTATTATAAACCTTTGGTTTCCCTTGTGTGTGGGGTTTGTTTTTCCAGTTTCCTTTTATATCTTGTTAATACTGTACAACAGAAATGAAATATGTTTTCTATATTGATTTCATAACCACTGACTTTATGGAATTATCTTACCTTGTCTCCGTACTGCAGCATGAATAAGAGTCTTGTAAACATGATACTCTGTGCTCAGTTGCTCAGTTATGTACTACTCTGCAATCCCGTGGACTGTAAGCCTGCCAGGCTCCTCTGTCCATGGGATTCTCCAGGCAAGAATACTGGAGTGGGTTGCCATTCCCTTCTCCAGGGGATCTTTCTGACTCTCTGTGGCTCCTGTATTGGCAGGCAGATTCTTTACCACTGAGCCACCTGGGAAGCTACTCATGTCATTTCTCTACTTAAAACCCTTCAACAGCTTCCCAGTGTTCACAGAACAATGCTCAAAATCCTCTTCCTGGCTGACAGTGCTGTGAACAGCTCATCTCTCTGGCCTTCCTCCCTCTGTTTCCCATTTTCCACCTGACTCAAGAACTTGAGTCCCAGTGATCTGCCCCCTGTCCTTTCTTACCTTGGCTGCCTACTCATACTCTATCTTTGGCTGGAATGTCTTCTCTTTATCTATTTGGCCAGCCCCGCCATACATGGTCTTCAAAGATTCTCCAGACCTAAGGTTATTCCATTGTATCTATTTCCTTCATGGAATTGTAGTTGTGTATGCCATTAGTTGTCTAAAGACTATTTGTATTAATGACTATGGCAAGACAACAGGTTTTATTTGGGGTACAAAATGATTATAGTTAATAAAAGAATGATAGTGGAGATTTTCAGTGGAGATAACAAATCTCAAAGAAGTTTGGTCAAAGTAACAAAGAGCAAAGCAAATCCAGAATTCCCACATTATTGCCTGTTAGCACTGCCTGAAGCGCTCCAAGATGCTGCTTGTTACAGGACCGAAGGGACCCATCCCATAAATAATCATACCTGCCTCATTGTTGGTTCGTGTGGTTAAGAATCTACTACCTGCAGTTCGGGAAACCTGGGTTCAATCCCTGGATCCGGAACACCCCCTGGAGAATGGAATGGCAACCCACTCCTGTATTCTTGCCTGGGAAATCTCAAGGAGAGAGGAGCCTGGTAGGCTACAGTTCATGTGGTCACACAGAGTCGGACATGACTGAGTGACTAACACTTTGACTTTGAAAGCACTTCTGAAATAGTGCCTAGTATATAGTAAGCAGGGTGAAGTAAAAGTGAAAGCATTAGTCACTCAGCCATGTCCAATTCTTTGTGAAATTTGCTCCCAATAAAGTGTGATTCTCAGTGTTCATCATTCTTTCCAATTTGGGAGACCAATTCTCTGATGAATCTAAGATGAGTTGTTGACTTTCAGTTTGCTCAGCTTTTTCTTAGTGTGAGCATGGAACTGATAACTTCCAAGATCTTTGCTTGTCAAAAATGAGAAGTCCCTTAATTAATAGTTCTACACCAATGACTCATAATTTAAATTTCTAGCCTAGGCTTCTCTGAGCTCCAGAATCATATGTGTTCCCAACTGAATGTCTCAGAGGTATCTCAACTCAATATATTTTACCAAATTTATGATCCCCCATACATGTACACACACATCAAATAACAGCTGATCTTTTGATTTTCCTCATCTCCAAAAGAGCTCCCATACCAGCCAGTTTCCCAGGTTATAGACCGAAAACTCATCCTTGACTCACTTCTTCTTACACATCCAATGCCTCGTCAAGTCTTGTTGATTTTATTTCCCGGATACTTTTCACAAGAATTTGTGTCCCTGGACTTCCCTGGCAGTCCAGTGGGAAGATTCTGCCCTCCCAGTGCAGGGGGTCTGGGTTCCATCCTTGGTCAGGGAACTAGATCCCACATGCAGCAACTAAAACAAATAAAAAACCAACAAAGAATTCATCTCTTCCTCTATTGTCACTAGTGGTTCAAGTCGCTTGCCTGAACTGCAATAATATCCTACTTTTGTCTGCTTCATTACTGAAGACCCATGACCTCAAACAACCATTCATAATACAAAT